CCTTCTGCCTTAGGCCGCAAGGCCACAACACACAGACTGGGCAAAGCCCAAGACTGTCACAACCGCAGGCGTTAAAGATGGTAGTCGGTATTGCGATCGTGACGTACCTCCACGGTTTCTAGGAACCTATCGAGAGGTTAAAGCGTAAGCTGCTTTAGAGGCGTAGTAGGCCGTATAGAGTATATCGACGAACTTATTATAGTTACTAAAATTAAGACCCGCGATGGTTGTAGGGAGAATAAGTTATCGTATCTTACTGTAAGGTCACGAGATGGTTGTGGGCATAGAGTGAGATGGTCACGAGTAATAGACGAGTAGTAGACGAGTAGTAGACGAGTCAAGCGGTATAGATTGATAATATCTGTGCCTCAATACTTAGACTGATCCTTAAAGAAGGAGAAGGAGAAGGGTTCAATGAAGGGTCCTCAAATAGTGGCTCCATTGTGTTACACGTGACTTAGCAGTAGCGGGGTCATGTGCAGTCCTCGAGTCTGTCAAGACTCGTTCCAAGTCTCCTGTGACTGATGGTCACGTGATCCATCCTCACACTTACTACTCAGCTTTTCTTAGAGAACGTTGATTTTAGTTCGAGCATCTTAGTAATCTATCTGAGCCTCGGTCTGGAGTCGTTGGTACTCTTTTATAAACTCTAGAAACGGCTTATTAACTTGCTTTAGGCGAACGAATTAAGAGTAAGTACGTTTAGCCTTATATTCGTCTCGATATCTCGAATCTAGGAAAGCTATAAATTTCTCTATATCCTGGGAAGCTGTGTTCCTGTCCCTCTATTGCGTAGTAAATAGCGCGGGTCCTCTATCGAGGAAGGCATAGATATAGGCAATTGCGGTTACGTGATTATGAGCGACAAGATGTCTATCCACTTGAATCTTGTTTTGTATATTTGCTCTCTAAACTTTGTACTTCTTCTTATCTCCCTCGAATCTCGTTAGTTTCGGGAGTTTCTGATTCCTGTCCCTAGCTAGGGTCTTAGTAGGGGTCTCTGGCTTAGCAGCTCCCTTAGGAGCGGTAGCTTCGCTTTAGACTTTTTTGGTTTACGGTGTCTCGGTATCATGGGCCCAAACCACGAAGGATTTGGTAAGCTGGTAACGCTGTTGAATTGCTAAAGAGAGAAGGAGAAGATCTCTCTCACTGCGATCTGCTATTTACATCTGTGGGCAAACGGTCTACCCATTCCTTCTGCCTTAGGCCGCAAGGCCACAACACACAGATTGGGCGAAGCCTAAGACTGTCACACAAAAGTCTGAAATAGCGCATATTAGTTTTGACCTTTCTCATTCTAAGCATACCATTTCTATCAATGGTCATTTTATCGACAATAGACGTTGAGGCGAATTAGCTGAATACAACAGATCTGAGCTAACGTTGGAATCAACAGACATGCCAAGATCGAGGAAATCTACTCCCAGCTCACCCCGGTCTGACCTAGGGTTTACCCTCTCACCGTCCCACTGGGAGGGGTTCACCAAGTGGGGAAAACTGGTTCAGTGTCAACGAATGGTCTTGGCGTCAGCTTGGCCGACCTTGTAGTCGATCACTACCCCCTGTAGTGATTGAGGGAACGGCACGCCATGGCCACTAGAACGTCGAAGTTCCTCGTACTCTTAAGACGCTGGAGGATATACGAATATATACTAATCACTCCTGCTAGGAACGATGCATGTTTATCGTGGCAATGTCAGAATAATCCATGTCAATCTATTTTCTCAAGGACATTTGTTTGTCTGGGCGTCGCTATTGACGCGAATGAGCTCCAGCTCTGAATAAATGAATGAAAACATGAGCATTCAGTATACCGCCTGATACATGTGCTCCTCTGCCGATGAGACAAATTGCTTACAGAATATCTAGGCCAAATTACCCCAAGTAGAACATCCAGGGACTGGTTGCCAAGCTTGTTATTTGATAGAGCAATCTGCGGCTATCAATATGAAAACCTTAGCGTTTTCACCTCATTGCACTTTCTCCATCACTATACGCTATTATCACGTTCCCACCCTCCAGATCTTGGCCATGCCACTCAATCGTATATAAAGACTAGCTAGAGTCGTCCTGTTCTCACTTCTCACCACACAGCTCTACTTCATTCTTTCATTTCTAACACTCTCGTTTCGTATGGTCTCTTATTTGACAGTCAAGATGCGGTTCATCACTTCGATCTTTTTAGCTTCGTTGGCTGTGGCAGCCCCAGTGGATCTAGAGGCTCGCCAATTTGGTGGTGGCTTGTTCGGTGGTGGTGGTCTCGGTGGCGGAGCAGGAGGTTGCGCTGAGGTTATCTTCATGTTTGCACGTGGTTCAACTGAGCCCCCAACCATGGTAAGAAGCTTTTCTTCTTTGGAACCAGGGGAAGAAGAAACTGACGGAAATAATAGGGCATATTGATTGGACCCCCTCTTGAGCGAGCCTTGGAGAGGCAAATCCCCAGCCTTAAGACCGTCGGTATCAACTACGACGCTGCTATCATGGACAACGTGTCCCGCGGTGGTACAACTGCAAAGCAGATCAATACTGCCACTCAGGCCTTCAACCAGCAAATGTCGCAGTGCCCTGACGCAATCTTCGTCGCCAGCGGCTACTCTCAAGGCGCCGCTCTCATGCACCGAACCATTGAGAAGATGCCTCAGGCGCAGAAGGACCGCATCGCCGCCGTCGTCCTCTATGGTGACACCCAGAACCAGGAGGACAATGGCCAGATCCCCAACTTCCCCCGTGAGAAGGTCAAGATCTTCTGCAACGCCTCCGATGGCGTCTGCGGCCGCAGCCTGACGGTCAACGCTGGCCACTTGTCGTACTCTGGTGATATCCAACCCGGTGCGCAGTTCCTCGCCCAGGGTGTCCAAAGGCTCAAGCAAGGTGGCGGTGTCTCTTCTAGTGGCTCTACTGCTTCGACATCTGGCAGCCTTGGTGGGCTTGGATCAGGCGGTCTCGGTAGCCTCTTCGGAGGCAGCTCTGGCGGCTTCGGTGGCATTTTCGGTCGCCGCTCTTAAGGGAGAAGCTACCGCTTCTGCATCCTTCCAAATGGCACGGCAATTGCGCCATTTTCGCATGCGTTGCGCTGAAGTGTAGTGCCGCATATGTACTTGAAGGCAACGGAACTACGCAGGTATAAGCCATTTACCTCACTAGCGCGCCAGAATCCTTAGCAATACAATATCTTTGTGTGAATGAATGCCAGTGTGTTCTGTAAGCAGCTGAGACTGCGCATTCTGTAACTGGATGTGGCTGCCTGTAGTAAAGGATGAGAAAACCCTGTCCGGAATTGGCCTCTTTTACTAGCGATTTCGCTGCAATTCCTAACTCCTGGTGGAGATATGGTTATGGAGAGACTACCCAGCTCTGAGCTTTTAATCTGTGTATGTAATGTAGAAGTATTGATACGTCATTGATTGATCTATCTAGGAGTATGGGAGGCCTCGGAGGAATAGGAGGTAACCACACATGATACTAGCCGTATTGGGATGTCACCTGATTCCCAACCTCTAGGGGTTTACCTCAGCAAGCTCAGGCTATTTATTATCGTGCCTGAGGCAACAAACCGCACTATACCTAATCGGTAAATGCAGTTCTCAAATAAATAGCCTGAGGATCCTGTCAATGACGCGCACTGGCTGTTCGATAATTTGTATGCGTTTTTCAGGATTTTGGAAAATCTCACTTTTGGATATTCTTCAATAACAACACGAGGACTTATTGGATTTGCCCTCAAATTCACTGGGCTGTGCAGCAGGGTTTACTTTATCTGGAAATTGAATCTTTTTCCACTCCCGATGTGTGATAGATCAGAGCAGTAGGGCGCAGGGGGCTACTAAAATATCTGGTAAAAGAGACGACGGCATCTACAAAACAGCCTTAGATATTCCAAGCAATTTAAATAAGGGGTTTATAGGAAGTTGCGTTTAGAAGGCGAGCGCATCCTCGGAATCGAGCATGAGTAGGGCAGTCCAAATGAGCTCATCTGGATTAAATGATGAATTACGGAGGGGTCTCATAAAAGGTGGCAGTAATGGGCCCGTGCGTTTCTGATTCAGCATGATGAGTCATCATGCTGAGTCATGTAACCTGCCTTCTTTATGAAGAATTCAGGATTGAAGCTACGTATATACACGTCCATTCCTGCTATGGTTTGGTCATTTAGGTGATGGAAATGTTGATTACAAGACTATATACAGTTGGAGCGAGCTATACGAATGGGTAGAATCTACAAATACCGATGTGGGTGCCTCAGGCACTTACATTTGGGTAATGCTATACCCAATTGGGCTAGTGTGATGGATCAGAGGTCCGCAGACCTGGATGCCTTGTGGCCCTGTGGCCCGTTTGCTCTGTAAACACCAGAACAGATAAACGCCTCGCACACCTTAGATAGATTCCTCCTTCATAGCAACAATTCAATGTTTGCCTCACGATTGGAGATTCCCGACAGTGAGACTCTTACAGCTAGTATTTATAAGGGCATTTATGGGCGCTAGGGCTAAATCGGGTTAGATTTCATGAAGACTTTATGAGGACGGCGTGCCCTAAGCATGAGTACATGAGACATGAGTAAGCGTTGAAAACGCACGAGCCACGGGCACGGATATGTCGAAATTACAGGCATAATTACGCCACAGGGGACGTTTTACTCATCTCCTACCCCGCTTGTGTGCCACATTCCTTACCCCTTTCCTTATATAAGCCATGCTGTTTTCCACTAGATATGGACCTAGAAAGCCCGAGTTTAAATTCCGCTTGCTTTCCTCTAGTGTAGAGGCTATCAATACATCGGATTTGAGGCTGGATATTGATGTGGTTTGACCATCTCGTCCCTATGCATGATCTGAAAGCATCTTACTGACCAATCGCCCTAATTCTTCTATAGGATCGATTTCCCAGAGGGTGTCAGAGAAACCTGTCGCCTCTTCATTCCTCAAAGGCACTCAGCTGTCCTGAACTACGATGATTGCTTTATAACAGGAGGCAACGTCTCGATTAACTCTGCATGTTGAGTAGAGAGATATAGAACCAGTTATAATACGGTCCTGAATCATCCAAACCAAGCAAAACAAGAAGCGTGAGACCCTCAGCTCAGTATGCACGAGGCCAACGACCGAGAGGTTCTCCGATGGCTTACGCAAGAGGACCCTTATACAAAACAACATCAGGTGGCATCGAAACGGTCTGCTGGTACCGGTAGATGGTTTCTAGATTCGCCCAAATTCAAGCGATGGTTGGCCGATGAGAAGCAGACTTTGTTCTGCCCTGGTCTTCCAGGCTCAGGAAAGACTGTCATCACTTCCATGGTTGTAGATACACTCGACGATACGTTTCAGGCCGACTTCACCATTGGTATCGCGTTTTATTATTGCAGTTTTCAGAGAGATTATCAACAGCTAGAAGAGCTCCTTAGAAGTCTTTTACTCCAACTGGGATGCCGCATGCCCTCACTACCAAACGCTTTGCTAGACCTTTACCAAAACCATGGGGCTAGATCAACACGCCCCTCAGTTGCAGAGCTTTTTGACGTTCTGGCTTCCATCGTCGCTGCTATGTCGAAGGTTTACATTGTCATTGATGCACTGGATGAGATGTCTAGTTCCCATCGACGTGAGCTCCTCTTAGGACTCTTCACGCTTCAAAACAATTCTTCGGCCAACCTGTTTGCAACTTCACGCTTTATTCCCAACATCGTCAGCAGATTCAAGGGAACCCCGTCCCTGGAAATTGGTGGTACGGATACAGAGAGTGATCTGATTCAATACATGGACCAGCGTATACGCAAGCTACCCGCATTTGTTCAGCAAAGTCCAGAGCTTCAGGACAAGATCAAGACATCAGTCCTTAAGGCATCAAATGGAATGTAAGTATATTCGTGCACGGCTCAGCCGGCTTACTGACTTCCTTTAGGTTCTTACCTGCGAGGCTGCAATTCGAAGAGCTTGCAAGCAAAAGGACTCTGACGGCATTAAATGCCGCGATAACATCAGTACCCGAGGCATTGGACGAACTTTACAGGAAGATTATGAGAAGAATTGAGAACCTGCCCCAAGAGGAAAGGCACCTTGCGAAAAAGGCTCTATCATGGCTCACCCTCGCAGAAAGACCCCTGAAAGAAGCCGAGCTTCGACATGCACTTGGAGTAGAAGAGGGCTCATCTACATTTGATGTTAAAAAGGTTCCAGAAACCGAAGATATCGTTACCCTGTGTGAGGGCTTCGTCACGTATGGAGAGACTGACGAAACCTTGGGTTTACTCCACATGTCAGTCTATGATTATCTCCAGGCATCCATGCATGAGTGGGGTCCAGATGCTAGAGCAACCGTCGCGACAGGTTGTATAACCTACCTTGCCTTTAACATCTTCCATGCTGGCTTCTGCAAAAGCGATGAAGAGTTCGAGTCAAGGCTACGAAACTTCCCTCTATACCACTACGCTGCTCGGCATTGGGGCAATCATCTTCATGGGATATCACCTCTGCCAAAAAACGAAATCTGCTCCTTTCTGATGGACCAAGATAAGGTGGATTCTGCTAGTCAGGCAATGCTGGTTTCTGAAGATAATTCGTTGCAGCGGAACTATAGCCAAGGAGTAGCAAAGCAAGTGACTGGGCTTCACCTTGCGGCATATTTTGGGCTGGAACTTGTAATAGAATTGCTAGTTGCGGAAGGTCAAAGCCCAGCTTCAAAGGATTCAGATGGTCGGACCCCATTGTGGCGTGCCACAGAAGAAAACCATGTGGAAGCAATGCGACTGCTAAGTCCCATGGATCGAACGACATTTATCATGATGTTAGCAAGGGGAGAGAAAGCTCTCACCGGCTCACTACTCCAGGCTGCAGGTCCAAGCATCAGGGATTTGCGGTTGAGGACGGCCTTACATATTGGTGTACTTCACAGCGATACAGACATAATGGAGCAGGCACTCCGGTGCGGAGGAGACATCAATGCTAAGGATGGAGATGGAAATGCTCCGATCCAGCTGGCTTTGCAAGAAAAGAAAACTCAAGCCGTAGACTGGCTGCTTAATAAGGGTGCTCAGGCTGCGGACATCACCACTGAGAACTGGTTACAAGGTTACGGAAAACAGAAATCGGCCATCGTGAAGCTTTCTGGTGATAAATCGGGGCCAAAGGAAGTAACCTTTCTTACACTAGAGCAGTTCACAACAGAGATCACACTCTATCCTAACGAACAGAAACGGTTGTTGTAAGTCGTACCCCTTTATTCGCTCATTAAACCCCGTGTCCACGACTGACTTCGACTGACTAGTATTTTCAATAGCAGTTCCTCTTGGCCAGTGGAAGCCTCCCTGGATCCGCAATGCTGCCCACAAGACAGATTGATGCACTTCAAACGCTCGCTCGTGAAAGAACTAGTGTATCGCCACTCAATAATAGCATTAGTTCCTATCCCAGGCAATGTTAAAGAGGACAAACTGTTCAAATGGAGTGAAGGAGAGCTGAGAATAGCTTGGACCATGAAAATGCTTCCAGATTCCAGTGGTAAGGACAGTTGGACATCACAAGATCATTTCAGCACCCTTCCAGCTGGCTCGATTCCTGACAGTGGTGCGGCATTCGTCGAGACTTTGGTTCACGTTGTGACGAGAAAATGGTTAGAGCTCTGTGACTGCATAGATAGCCACTTGATTCGCTGTGTAGGTCTTATCCGCTTCAAGTTTAACATTAAAGACTATTTAGTTTACAGAGCCGCTAACATTTCATAGCGTCCCGATGTCCTCAATGCGAATGGAGGAGATCCTTATCTCATCGTCAGTCTTTTAGAAGACGCGAATACCTGGATCAACCTACGTCACTTACTCAATAATCAGGTCGAAGATGTCAGAGTATTTCGTGTGGACTATGATAAGTATGGCTATAAAGATGAAGCCATTAACAGACTTACACAGATCGCCGAAAACTTTGTACAGGTTGTTGATCTTAGGATCACTAAACTTGATAGAAGTTCATCTGAACTTATACAGCTGGTAAGATGCGCTGTTAATGCGATGCCGAGGGAAGGGCTCTTCCTTTCCGTGACTACATGCGAGGCATACATTCACTTAAACTGAGTCGAACTGCTTACGACTCATTAGGAGTTCAATCTTACCTCCATTCGAGAGGCTCAAAAGTCAACTACCCTTAATCGCGATATGAGCCGTCTCTCGCGGATCACCGTAAGAAGTCTACGTGTTACATCGTTTGCTATCTTTTCTGACCTTATAGTTTGTATTCCTTCCACTCCTCTTTATATCTGTACGTGTTTCTCGGCAAAGTTTTACACGTCCTATTTTAGATCCTAATTTGAGACAGGGATTGTTCGGCATGAATGTTGATGTCCTCAAGGTGAACCCGCCTTGGTGGTGGTATATAGTGTTTGCGGTTGTGGCACTGGCCTTGACAATGACCGTTTGGATCATCTTCAAGCGATACCCAAATGTACGTAGGCCTTGTATTTCGAGAGTTCTCTTGTGGTCATACGCTGATAGATTTGTCAATAGTTAGAAGACAGGATAGAGAAGTCGTTTGCGTGGCTTGTTGGGTCTCAAACGCCCCATGACGTCGAGAGAGGGTTTTGGCCGAAGGAAAAGAAGAAAATTAATTGAGAGTGACTTAACTAATCTCTGATATCAAATTTCTTTGACACGGTCTAGATGCGCAAGGTCTGCGATTACCAAGTGCCTGGAGGAACGAAGTGCCTGGAGGAACGAAGTTCCGTAAGGTCTTTGGTCGCACGAGGGGAGACAACAAACTTTGCCTTGAGGAACTCAAGGTGCCTTGAGGAACTCAAGGTTTATGCCGCCCTTTTCCAACGGTACCAAATTTCACGTGATTTTCACGGGTTTTGACCAAATCACGTGTGTTTCACGTGATACGTCACGTGACCCGATTTTCTTTGTGCCGTCATTTTCTTTGTGCCTAATATAGCAAATCGAATCTGGAATAAGGGCACAAGGCCACAAGGCACCAATGTATGTAATTAGTCAGCCCAGGTAGTTCCCCACATGGGCCTCGCCGAGAGGCTTGACGGGCGTATGAATCTCTCTCTCTCTCTAATCTTGAATAATAATATATGTCCTCCGCTTCGGTCCTAGATCCGCCCAGGTTCGCTGCTTTCCTCTCCGAACACTAGTTCAGTTACTCTGATGACTATTACTCGGTACATTTTAAACATTTGGTTCCCCTTGGTGCGCTGTGAGCCTTTCCTCTAATGACCAGTCCCAAGATTCCGCGTCCTGGATGGTCGTCTCGCTCAGCCGTTCTAGCCTGGCCTCCGCCGCGACCATGTTATCGGGCACCCGATTGCCTACGAAGTCCCGTTCTCGTGCCTTGGACAGGAGCATAATGCCATCTAGCGACGGGCAGCGCGACAGCTGCACGTACAAGCTATACGGATCGCATTGGCTGGCCACCGCCTTGCCGTCGATATTGGTCACCCGCGTCCCCCGCAACTCCAGCGCCACTGGGTTTAGCGTCTTGCCTTGCACTTTGTAATCCGTACAGGCGAATGCGGCTGTACATGGCAACCCGCGGCGGCTGACGTGGTGCTTTTGCCATGGCCGCTTCCTCTGGCACTCGATTTTGGTACTGATGGGTGTGAGAAGCACGGTGCCGGCCGGCATGCCGACGAAACGGAAGTCTCGTGCCGTCTCCGACGCCAGCAGGATCCCCGCCGGAGGGCCGAAGTGGAGGATGGTGTCGGCGTCGACGCGATGGCCCGGGTATGCCTCGTCGAGAACGACGTCCAACGCCGCGTAGCTGGCGCCGTTGACCAGCTTCAGGCCTTGGTGGGTATTGTGATTGACGACGATGGGCATCCCAGGCACGAACATGAAGATGGCTGGGACCGGAACGGCGCTATCGTCCCCGTAACGGAACATCATGAGCGCTTCCTCCTCCGTCGGCTGGCCGTCTTTCCACTTATGTTCGGACATGAAAATCCGGAGCTGCCCTTGCCGTTGCCTTTGAAACGACAGTATGGCCTCGACGTTCAAGTTCCACCGGTTCCGGTTCAGCGGCGTAACGACGGTGATGCCGGACTCCCATGGGATCCGTCGGCCTTCCCGGTAGCACATGCGGTTCAGGAAATCCACGTCGGACCGCTCTTGCACGCCTTCCCTGATCCGCTTTAGGAGTCGCTGTAGTCGTGCATCTCCTGCGGCACGGACTTGTTCGTCGAGCATAACCACCGTGGTGAACTTCGTCCACAGAGCGTGTGCTTTATCATGCTGGTACCTCTGCTCTGCTCGGAACGATTTATCTTCGGTCCACGCAACGGCCTGACTGGGGAGCAGGATCGACCGCTCCTGCACCGGACGGAACTGGTGGAAATCCCCACAGAAGACGACGATAGGGATCCCGCCAAATGCGTCTGCACACCCTCGCAGCCTACATAGCTGTTCGTTTACCACGTACAGTGTCCGCGCGCCGAGCATGCTAACTTCGTCGACGATAAGCAGGTCTTTTTCCTGCCACTCCGCCCGGCTTCGTCCGTCGATACGGCGACTTGCTGAGCTACTCGAGGCGAATCTCTCCAGATCCGTACTCCGATCTCCCCACAAGCCGGTAGCTTTCGAGAATCCACAGGCGGAGTGGATAGTGATCCCGTTGATATTGGCTGCCGCCGTTCCCGAGGTCGCCGTGACTAGCAGACGGTGCGAGATCCCCTTACTTGCGAACAGCTCCGCGATAGCCCCGATAGTCCGAGATTTCCCCGTGCCGCCCTCGCCTCCGATAAATTGGCAGAGCTGGGGAACTCCGTGCTCGTCGCGGCGGATCCGGTCTAGCTGGCGACAGATCAGTCGAAGTGCGATACTTTGTTTTCGATTTAAGGTGAACGTCTGCTCCGCCAACTGTCTCCCTGTCGCAGAGAACGACGTGGAGGGACCGAGCTGGATACCCATAGATGGGCCTGCGCCCCCGCCCCTGCCCCCGGCCGGGCCTTCCGACTCGGCCGTCGTGGAATGGACCTCGTGCTCTCCGAAACCGTTCGGCACCCTAGAGTCTGCGGACCTGTCCCCGGCTCCGTCGTTCTCGACCGGGCCCTGGATCCCTTGGGTCCTCCTCTCTCTCTCTCTGGAGGCGCTCTTTTGCTGCGCCTTGATCGACTTGAGCATCTCCTGTGCTGGCACTCTTACCACCGCTGCCCCTGGAGACCAGCCTTCTTGGGTGCCAGGAGTCCTTGGCCCTTGCTCGAGAATGGTCGTAGCGCGCAGTTCGTCCATAGAACCTAAGGCCGTTTGCTGGAATCGACCCATTTGCTCTACCGTCCTCGAGATCTCTTTCGAGCCGGCCGTGATCTGGTTGGCTCCCATTGCGTTCCGTAAGACGTCGATGAGGCGTACTGCATTGCCGAGACTGTCGGACCGATACGTTGTCCTTGGTCCTTCGTCCCCATCGTCATCCCTGTCCTCTAGCTCGACCGTATCGACGGGAGGATCCGTCTCTCCGGACATAGCAGCCCATTGTTTGGCATCGCGCTTCGCATCTTCGGCCGACCGGTGTAGGAGTTGGATATTGTCGGCGACGAATGCCATCCTCCGAGGCAAGGCCTGCTTCCGATTCTCCCAGATAGCGTTGATGTCGCCCGATGTCTCGAACAAGAACGATTCCCACGGTACAAAGATGGCAAGATGCTGAACAGCCGCTCTACGTTTGCCCCCAAAAAGTCAACCCTTCCTGCGCATCGTTTGCTTCTCTCTTGCACATGAATATACATACCTCTTATAGTAGACCTCGCTTTCGTCACTCAGGTTCCTGCTCAGGTAGCCGTCGAAACAGACCATCGCGTGCTCGCCGGGCTTTCGCAGCACCTGCACCCACGACTGTGACAGAGGCCAGGCACTATCTAATTGTACCTCCCCCCGCGCGCCGACGCCCTCGCCCTTTCGCTTCAACTTAACGACCGACATATAGTCGTAGAGCGATAGCCCTTGCAGAAGTTGGCCACGGTACGGGTATGCCTGCACCAGAGAGATTCTCTCTCCCGCCTCGTGTAAGAGCACCGTCTCCTCGACCGACTCGTCTAGAGTATCTATGCCACTCTCGCATCGCAAGTGCCGCCATCGGCGGAAAATATGCCAGTAAAGGGAAGAAACGTTAAGAAACGTCCAGGCGTCATTGCTCGAAAATTCCGTTGGGTAGCCGAGCAGGTGAGCGATGATTTCGACCTGCGATAATGCCCGCTCCGTGAAGATCCGGTTCGCAACCCTCATTAAAAATTGCCGTGTTCGGTTCTCAACACCGTTGTTCGTTGCAGGACCGCCCGTGGTATCCACCTGCCGCTCCGCCATCGCGTTGTCTTGGGGGGGGAAGAGTTCTGCCGCCGCGGCCACCCGTTTCCATACCGGATCCTCGACTTTGGTTGCATAGTTGGTCACGTAAAATACCAGGGCCATGGTCTTACACTGCGTAGCAATGAACGAGATATCATGGTTATGTCGCAGTCCTACCGCCATGGCCTGGTTCCATCGATTCACCATGCTATGAGACCGCCGAATCTGCAATACTCCGCTATCGGTAAACGCCGTCCTCTCTACCAATCTCTACGGCGCCTTAAACCGGCATAGGTCCCGATTCTTCTTTGTCTGCCCCTGAATCGAGTATTTCACGCACGTCGGGCTATGGGTGTGGATCTGAGTAGCACCGGCGCAGAAGTTGGCCTCCTCGTCAAACGCAGCGCCAAATTGCTCGCGGTTCTCTAGTAGCGGCGATATGTCGGACGTTACCGATCGCTCTGCCCGAACGGCACAGAAGGCCTCGTGGTCCAGATCCTGCATCGTCAGCCCTCGCATTAGACAATCTTTGCTGTACGCGGTTTACTATACGGCGGCGAACATACCTCAGTAAAAACACTGTCTACATACTGAGCGACCCTCTCCTGATAGGCTACCTGATCCTCCCTATTATGATCTTGTAGGATAGAACTCAGTTCCATGTTTCCCTGGAGCCAGAGAAGTCCGTGGACATGGAGCGCGCCGCGCTCATTGGTCTCTACGGCCCCAAAATACCGATTAATACGCCCGAATACCGAATCCTTCCCGGTCTTCACATAGTGCTCGAAAAATAGGGAGATCTCCCGGTGGAAGAATATTGCTGAACTGAGCGGGTCCGAGATGGCTAATCGTGCCCGTTTATACGCCAGGTCTAGGCTCGTTAAGAACGCCTCCGCCTCCTCTGGATCCCGGGTCCGATACGCCGCGAGCCGGAGCTTGATCGGATTAGTGATATCGTTCGGGTTCAACGTGAACCAGATAGCCGGAATACCGTCCCGAATGATGAGGGACTGGATCTTCCGCCGCATGTTTAAACGACTCTCCCTCGACATCGGCTGGCGAAATCCGTATAGCGACAGGCTCCGTAAGAGCTGGTTGACCGCCTCGTCGCTCGTCTTCCGCGACGCCTCTAGCTCAGCCTTCGCCGCCTCGAGCCTTTCCGGGTTCAGCGAACGGACGATGCGCTCGACTTCGGCGAAATTCTTCCTCGTCACGCTCACCATGCTAACGCGGCGATTCCTTGACCGGACCCCCACATTGAAAACGAGGAAGGCAAAGATATGGTGTGACGCAAATCGACCGCCATGGCGCTGGAGCACCAGTTTGGCCCACGCCTCTAGGCTCATGTTCCGCGATCGTATAAGACCCCGCACCCTGACCCCCGCTTCGACGCCGACATCCATCGCTCCGGTCACATCCTCTATGCTCTCGTCCGCTTGGCGTGGGCCTCCACGACCGACTGGGAATAGCGTCGGGAACGTCTTTGCGAAGAACCGTGCGTCTAAAGAATCGGCGAAGTCCTCGCCCCGAGACACCACAATGTACGGCTCGGAGGTGTTCCCACGCCGCACTTCCGCTGTTCTACCCCGCCTTTTATTGCTAGCATCCTGTTGACCTAGCGCGTCACGAACGTACCGTAACTTCTCCCTATCCGCGATATCCGGGCCCCTATCAAGAGCGAACATGCCAGACGAACTGTTCTCGTGAAGCGGGGCTGCAGCATTGTCGAGGACCCTGTCCCCATTCCCATCGTCACCATCGCTCGGTCCTAGACCGCCTACCACATCCTGGCCGACCTCGACATCGTGCCCTTGACCGAGCGTGGCTAGGACTTCTCGGATATCTACGCTCTCGTCCTCTTCTAGGCCACGCTCTGTCGATGGGACTAGTTGCCCGGTTCGCGCCTTCTCCTGCGCCGACGGCTCGTCCCGTTTTAACCGCTCATACACCTGAGACGGTACCCCGTGCGAGGGCGTCTCCCAACTATCTAATTTCGCTCCGTCAATCTCAATGTGCCTATACAGCGGGTTATGTCGCTTCAACCATACTAGTGCCTTCTCTACCACCCGACGCCGAACCGATAGGAGGACCGATAGATCGCTCGGCGCTGGTTTCTCCGGCCCATGCCAGGACACGTGAATCTCATCCATCACCGTAAGTAGCGGATGGGGGAGGACGTTGGCCACTAGCTCCTGAACGTTGTTGGGAAAGACGGTAATGTGGCCCTTCACATGCCTCGTATATGTTACACCCTGCCTCGGTCCCTCTGGGATGCTGTACTTCGTAATAAAGCCGTAACACGAGTTCAGCGCGATAAGCTTCTCTTCGATCGGCGTTAGATCCTTCAACTCGTCGGGGTATATATGCTCGCATCCGAGTCGGTCGTGCAACTGAGCGGCTAGAGATAAACCGTCTCTCCCTAGGTGCCGTACACAATCTGCATACCCACGGATTGTCTCACCGATAGGGAAACACCTAACGCATTGGAAGGGCGAACCCTCACGCTTCTCGATGGGACTGGCCATCTACTGGTCCCACGCCACGTCCACCAGTTCGGCCCGACCGTACTTGCGATAACAAAACATGCAGGTCAGGATTGGCAAGGTATCGATATCATGGAACGCTTTGTAGAAGTCCTGGACGGTGCTAACCTTAATGGAAGTCGGGATCGGCGTACACCATTCCTGCTCATAAGAGAGCCGTTCTTTCTCAGCAAATTCGTCCTCTAATTCGCATATAATACCCTCCAGCTCTTGTACCTGTTCTTCTTCACTCCACTCCCGACGATCCGTTCTTCTGGCGCGTTTTGGTGGCAACGGCTCACTGGTCATACTAGACCCGGGCCTCTTCGGCGCCAACCGAGGGAGGTTCGCCGCGAAAGAAGTACTGGTTTCTCTCGGATCGTGCCCAGTACCGCCAACGACTTCGTTGGACGACGTCGCTCTCGACCTCCGATGCCGCCGCTGGCGGGTCTCCCTATCTGCTCTTGCTTGTTCGTACTCTGTCTGGAATGCTTCGCCAATGTCCGCTGACGTTCGAATACCTAAACCTGCGAGCGCCGATGCATCAATAGCGCCTCTCGACCCTGGCTCTCTTGCGACCCTCGCCATCTCGTGCGCCCTCTGTGCAGTGTCGACCATACTAGTGACGGTGGGCGGCCCTAAACCTGCCAGCTCCACCTTCTGCCGATTGAGAGCATGGTACCGGTCGACGACACCCAGCGAAGACCCACGACTCGCTCGCAGGACCGAATTCTCCTCCGCCCTGCTCGATTCGTTCCCACTCTGTCCGGTAGGAGGCCCCCCAAAGGGTGCTCCTGGTATTGCAACGGCGCTGCTTGCGGACGAACCTCTCCCCTCTCCCCTCTGCAGCCGCCGAGTATCCCTCTGGATACTGGAATCTCTACTCCGTACTGGGTTTCTAGCTGCCCGACCCTGTTCAAACTCCCTCTACATCTCTTCGAAGATATCTGTAGATGTTCGTATATCGAAACCCACCCGCGCTATATTCTCTCGAACGCGCTCGTCTAAGCGACGGAGCCGATCAGACAGACCCTCCGATCCTTGATCGTGTCCTTCCATACCAAGTTTCGAATCGGTTCGCAATGCTGGCCTTTCTAAATTCCGAATTTTCGTCACAATGTACAAAATATCATATTAGAACGTCGACTAATAGATCTACAGAACAGCATTCCCCCGAACCCATCAGCTCTTGGGATATTACCTACGTTATAAATCCCTGAAACCGCTCCGCCAGTGATTTTACTCCGTCAACGTCGCACACTTCACCGCTTAACCCTGTTCGGTTGCCGACATAGTTCCCCCCAACATGAAGCTTGGATCCTTCGCCTGGAATTCAACGAAACTGGTCAATCAGCCTATCAATCTACCGTTTTCGACCGTCCCCGACGTATCACCCGTCGCGCGTATCCTCCGCCGTCTTCTATAACTCATATCTCACAAATCCGCCTTCGAAAAGCGGCACACCCACAGCTTGTCACGATCCCCCTTCCCGCGCCGCATCCCCACATTTTCCATCATAGTACCGTCATTCAATACTTGTCTCTCGTATATTCGTCCTTCCCCTCTTTCCCTTCCTATGTAATTGGCCAACCTATAATGGCCTAATTGGGTGTAGGAGTCGATCGATCGATTAACCCCTCTTTGCCTTTAGTTTCGCTATAACTGCTGAACAAAGTTGGCATCCCCTCCTTATCTCGTGCTCCTTTCGACTATAACAATAGACTTACATCTAGCCACCGTTAACATCGATGCTCTTACCGCCCTGCTTTTCCCGGACATTCCCCCTTAAGACAATGCACACTTCCGTTCTATACTTCCATTCCACCTCCTTATCTTGTGCTCCTCTCGACCATAACAATGAACTTCTATCTCGACACCGTTAACATCGATGCTCTTACCACCCTACGTTTCCCAGATATCCCCCCCGAGACAAAGCATACTTCCGTTCCACACTTCCATTCCACCTCCTTATCTTGTACTCCTCTCGACCATAACAATACACTTCCATCTCGATACCGTTAACATCGATGCTCTTACCACCCTACGTTTCCCAGATATCCCCCCCGAGACAAAGCACACTTCCGTTCCACACTTCCATTCCACCTCCTTATCTTGTACTCCTCTCGACCATAACAATAGACTTCCATCTCGATACCGTTAACATCGATGCTCTTACCACCCTGCGTTTCCCAGATATCCCCCCGAGACAAAGCACACTTCCATTCTATACTTCCATTCTCTATTTCTATTTCACACTTCCATTCCGTACTTTATACGATAAGATGTTTATACGCTTCACGACCGCTTCCGGCATCAACGCCAACAGGTTGTGTAACACTGTATAGCATATAAATATCACGATATGTAGAATAGTCTGCTTCCTTTTTCTTCTCTTCTCTTTAGCTTCAGTTTGCCGGATTTGCGGAAATCGAATTCATTTCTTTTCCCGATCGTGCCACTCCCGAAATTTTATTTACTAAGCATGTCTCGACTACCCTCCCTCTCGAATATTATTCATATCCGTGATTTTATTGACGCCGTAACGGATGACCCGACTCGAGAAGTCTCACCTAATCACGTTGAGATCTATACCGACGTTAATATCTTCTGCGAAGACAACTTCTATACTCCGGACATCATCGTAGAGCCTATTCGCGCGCGAATTCGTGCGTATCTGACCCGAGACCAACGGGAACAATTTGTCCCTAACGCCTTCCTCTACGCTGACGGTCGCTTTTTCACGACCCAGTCCCCAGACAATACGTTGGAACTTAGCGTCCAGGCATTGAGTTTGATGAGGTACGTCTAGCTATACTCCTATTATGACTCGATTTAACCGGTCCAGACACCCAGGTAACGTCGCTGACTTCGAGGAGTACCGCCAGCGTTTACCAGAACAATGGTGTCCTATGGTGACCGTCGTCGGCTCGGTGCCGTCTCGCAACGACCACTCGCTAGACACAGCGCACGCCCGCTACTTCATGATTGAAACCTCCGTTTATGACGTCTCCAAATCTACGTCCGTTCCATCCACCATGGCCTGCTTCTTCGAAGATTCCAAACGCTGGCAAAAAGTAAAGACCCCTCAGGCAGGATCCTTCCTCAGCCTCACCGCCAAAGTGGCCGGTCGCACATCTGATACCAACCTTCTGGCCCTCCGAGTCCTGGATCTGGCCTTCTTGCCGAAGCCTACGTCCACTGGACTCACCCCGACCCCTATCACTACTCCATCGTCGAAACGACTCGATCGTTGGGAAGGCCGCCCTGCTCTATCGACTCCTTCGAAAAAACCGCGTCTCTTGGACCCGGCCATAGAAATACTAACTCCATCGGACTCGACGCCACGTGGACTCGATCGACCGCATACAGACCGCACTACAGACTCACAACCTACTCCCTCTTCTCTCTCTACCACTACGCAGCTGGACGACTCCTCGAACATATCTAATCCACCTAGGAGCTCTGACAGTGGATTTCGGCCGCGTCGCAACTGTCGTCCTTCTAAAAAATTGGAAGTACCAGTAGAAACAAAGAACTCCTCGTAAGCTACCATCCGATGATGTGTACATAGACGTGACGGCACCTAGCACAGAAACGTCACGACATAGATTGAGATTATTTGGTTACAATCACAAAAACGCGTGAATTAGTTTTCTCTTTTCGTTACCTTTCGAATGATAGGCTTATGGATATTGAATCTGTCGATCCAGAACTGTGACATATATCAAAGTCAATGATCTCCCTTTGTCTAGATACGGTATAGTAAGACTAGCCGCCCTCCCACCATACTTTCTCCTAATAATCTGTGCGACGCCAATCAACACCGGCTGCGACTGAACGTTTCCAAAACATCCTCCATTCCAACCAATGTGATGCTTCTGTGAATAATTCGAGTGGCGTTTTTTGGAATTCATAATCGCCAACTCGAGCTTCGTTCCTCAAGGCTCTGTTAGGGCGAACCGCTTGGCGGTTCGCGTCTACCCTTGTCTAACTAGACCTTAAATCACATGATATTCACGTGAGTTTCACGTGGTTTGTACTCCTCCTACCCCAAGTCCCCAACCTTCGTCGACAATCCAAATGGCATGCCCAGACATGTATATATCAGTCAGCAAGTTTCCCACATCGACTAGAGCGATTGGCTGGAGGGAGTAGGAATTCATTCATTCCTTCGTTCCCTTCGTCGACATCGCCGTCGCCGCCCGCTTTAGCCCGTATGATATGATTGAAACGAACTATGAAACTACACACGCTCCACAGCGTCCACTTCGCATCGGCAGACACCGCCGGATTCTGACTCTGCGCCTGACTAAGTCCGGTCGTTAAGACTAACTCCGACCGTCGAGACTGACTCCGATCATAAAGACTCGAGGAAAAGAGGAGTGATGCGAGGAAAAAAAAGGCAAAGTCTCCCCATCGTTAAGCGATCAATGTCACAAAGGGTCGGGTTTCAATGTCTCTCGCTCTATTTGCGCTCCGCTGTCATAGTCCCAAATCGCAAAGGATTTGATAGGCTTGAACGTTATTAAATTACTGAAGAGGGAAGAAAGATCTCCTCCGTTCAGAAGTACTAAATTGCATCTTTTAAGCTTGAAGGTCAACAAAGGCCGGAAGGCCATTAACACGAACTGGCCAAAACCTAGCTCTTGTCACAAAGAAAGAGTATAAAGATCTCCTCTGCTCAGGAACGCTAAATTACATCTTTAGGCCGCAGGCCGTTCACACAGACTGGAACAGGCCAAGACTATTACATCCGCTTGCCAATTTGCTTAGTATATTTAGGCCGCATTTGCTTCCCCTTAGTATATCATGTGTCCCTCCTCGGATGACTAATCCTAACGCTCCGCGTCTCGAATCGTTCCCTCGCTCAGCCGTTCTAGCCTATTCTCGGCCGCGACTATGTTATCGGCCACTCGATTACCGACAATGTCCCTTCCCGCGCTCGAGACAGGAGTATAATCCCATCTAGCGATAGGCAGCGCGATAGTTACACGTACAGCCCGTAGGCATCGCATTAACTAGGAACGGCCTGGCCATCGACGTTCGTCGTCCTCGCGCCGCGAAGTTCTAGCGCCACTCGGTCTAACGTCTTGCCTTGTACCTTATAATCCGTGCATGCGAACGCCGCTGCGCACGGTAATCCTCGCCGGCTAACGTCGTGCTTCTACTACGGCCGCTTTTTCTAGCAATCGATTTTAACGCTGACGGGCGTTAGGAGGATAGTGCCGGCTAGTATGCCGACGAAGTCGTAGTCTCTTATCGTCTCGGACGCCAGCACGATCCCGGCCGGAGGCCCGAAGTGGAGCATAGTATCGGCGTTGACGCGATGCCCGGGGAATGTCTGCTCGAGGACGACGTCTAACGCCGTATAGCGGGCGCCATTGACCAGCTTCAGGCCTTGGTAGGTGTTTTGGTTCACGGCGATGGGCATCCGGGGACGAACATGAAGATGGCGGGGACGGGGACGGCGCTGTCGTCCCCCTAACTCAACAGCATCAGGGCCTCCTCCTCCGTAGGCTGGCCTTCTTTCTACTTATGCTCGGACATAAAAATCCGAAGCACGCCTTGCCTTTGGCGTTAGAAGGACAGCATGGCTTCGACGTTCAGATTCCAGCGGTTCCGATTCAGCGGCGTGATGGCCGTAATGCCGGACTCCCATGGGATACGTCGACCTTCCTCGTAGCACGCTTCGTTTAGGAAATCCATATCGGACCGATCTTGTACGCCGTGCCGGATCCGCCTAAGGAGTTACTATAGTCGTAGGTCTCCGGCCGTACGGACTTATTCGTCGAGCATCACGACCGTAGTAAATTTGTTCTATAGCGCGTGCGCCTTATCGTACTGGTGCCTCTGCTCTGCTCCGAACGATGTATCGTCGGTCCACGTAGTCGTATGGCTAGGGAGAAGGATCGACCGCTCCTAGACCGGACGGAACTGGTAGAAATCCCCGCAGAAGACAACAATCGGGATACCGCCAAAGTCGTCTATACACCCTCGCAGCCGGCCTAGCTGTTCGTTTACTACGTATAGCGTCCGAGCGCCCAGTATACTAATCTCGTCGATAATAAGTAGGACTTTTTCCTACCACTCGGCCTAGCTTCGTCTATCGATACGGAGACTGGTTAAACTGCTCGGCGCAAAACTCTCCAGATTCGCACTCCGACCCACCGACCGAGTCGTGTTTTTCGAGGATCCGCACGCGGAATAGATAGTGACCCTATTAATATTGGCTGCCGCCGTTCCCGAGGTCGCTATAACCAGCAGGCGGTACGAGATCCCCTTCCTCGCGAACAGCTCTATGACCGCTCCGATAATTCGTGATTTTCCCGTACCGCCCTCGCCTCCGATAAATTAGAAGAGCTAGGGAACTCCGGGTTCGTTACGGTAGATCCGGTCTAGCTGGCGATAGATTAGTCGAAGTGCGATACTCTGTTTTCGGTTTAAGGGGAACGACTCCTCTACTAATTGCTTCCCTGCCGCAGAGAACGACGTAGAGGGGCCGAGCTGGATATTCATAGACGGGCCGGTATCCCCTCCTAGGCTTTCTCTGTCGGCAGCGGTGAAACGGACGTCCGGCCTAGACTCAACAGTACTCTCTCCGACCGGCCCCTAGATCCCTTAGATCATCCGCTCTCTCTCGCGAGACAGACTTTTTTGCTGCGCTTTGGTCGATTTAAGCAGCTCCTATGCTGGCACGGTCAACGCGGCTGGCTCGGGAAACCCGTCTATCCTTTTCTCTTTCATTGGCACCCGGGTGGTAGTCCTATGGGTACTAAATTGGTCGACCTAGACCTCTGACATACGTATCAAATTCAGTTCTCTTCCTCCCCAGAACCCCAATGGAATAACAAGCCTTTTGTGATGCTTATGTGAATATAATTCGAGCGCTTTTTTTAAAGGACATTCGAAAACTGTAAACTCTAGCTTCGTTCCTCCAGGCTCTCTTTGAGCGATACCCGCTTGCGGGTTCGCATCTCTTGTTTAATATGTACCATGAATGGATATTAGGGGACCATTTCTGGTCCCTTCAAAATAAAATAGGCCAGTGCCTGGAGGAACGTAGTTCCGTAAGGTCCTTGTAGACGCACGAGGGACAGACACAAAATCACAACCCAACCTTAAATCACATGATTCTCACGTGAGTTTCACGTGATTTGTCCCCCTCAACCACAGCCGTCGTTGACACGCCTTCGTCGACATCGCGATCGGCCCCCCCGCTTTAGCCCCTGTGATATGATTGGAACGAACTATAAAACTACACGCTCCGCGGCGTCCACTTCGCGTCCGCAGACACTGCCGGATTCTGACCTTGCGCCTGACTGAGTCCGATCGTTGAGTCTGGCTCGGATGGTTAAGACGGACTCTAATGGTCGAGACTTCACTCTGATTGTCGAGACTGACTAATTTGATAACGCAAATAAATCCAACAACGATGGATTCTTTTTCAATATGCCTCCTATAAATGAAAGTGCAATTGCTGAAGCTATATAAGCTTTTTGAGATCGAGAATTCCCATCGATTCACAAATTTGCGGAGGCTTATGGCGTTAAGTACTCTACTCTCTAAGAACATATCTAAAAGGGCACCGAATCCCATCAAAAAGGGGCCGAGAAGTTGCAAAAGTTGTCAAAAGATCAAGAAAAATGGCTGGTCTTGTGACAGTCTTGGGCTTCGCCCAGTCTGTGTGTTGTGGCCTTGCGGCCTAAGGCAGAAGGGATAGGTAGACCGTTTGCCCACAGATGTAAATAGCAGATCGCAGTGAGAGAGATCTTCTCCTTCTCTCTTTAGCAATTCAACAGCGTTACCAGCTTACCAAATCCTTCGTGGTTTGGGCCCATGACAATTTGAATTGCTCATTCCTTTTCTGAAAGACGCTCGCTCATGCTGCCAACTTCGGAAATCGGCCGAAACAAGCTAGAACCTAGAAATAGAAGAACCAGGATCAGAGATCAGTATCGGCATAATGGCTGATGCTATGGATCAAGACCAAGGACCGCCCCAGGGTCCACCGGGTCCACCGACAGGGAATACGAATACGTTCACGAATAAAGAGAAAACGGAAATGGCAGCCATGATGGCCACCATGGCAGAAAAGATATAACAGCTAGAGTTAGCTCTAGGAAAGGCTACAGAGGCCAAGACACCGCAAACAAAAAAAGTCCAAAGCGAAGCTACCGCTCCTAAGGAAGCCGCTAAGCCAGAGACCCCTACTGAGACCCTAGCTAGGGACAGGAATCAGAAACTCCCGAAACCAACGAGATTCGAGGGAGACAAGAAGAAGTACAAAGTTTGGAGAGCAAAGATGCAAAACAAGATTCAAGTGGATGGACATCTTGTCGCTCATGATCACGTAACCGCAATTGCCTATATCTGTGCCTTCCTCGATGGAGAACCCGCGCTGTTTGCTACGCAATGGAGGGACAGGAACACGGCTTCCCAGGATGTAGAGAAATTTGTGGCTTTCCTAGATTCGAGATATCGAGACGAATATGAGGCTGAACGTGCTTATTCTCAATTCGTTCGCCTAAAGCAAGTCAATAAGCCGTTTCCAGAGTTTATGAAAGAACACCAACGACTCCAGACCGAGGCTCAGATGGATTACCAAGATGCTCGAACTAAAATCAACGTTCTCCAAGAAAAGCTGAGCAGTGAGATGCGACAACTCATTCTCCCTGCAACTATCGCGGGTCTTGATTTCAGCAACTATGATAAGTTCGTCGATATACTCTATACGGCCCACTACGCCTCTGAAGCAGCTCACGCTTCAACCTCTCGATGGGTTCCTAGAAACCACGGAGGTACGTCACGATCGCAATACCGACCACCATCTTCAACGCCTACGGTCCCGACCCCACCGCAAGTCCAAGTCTTAGCGCCCGCACCATCCCCGGCTAATCCGGACGCAATGGATTGGACAACGCGTGTCACTCAAACGCAAGCTGCTCAGGCCTTGACGCAGAACCGACCGTCGCGCTCCTTACACCCGAATCCTGACAACCGTCCGAAAGGGCGCCCAATCAATTCCAAAGAATTCCAAGCACGACAAGCCGCAGGAGTCTGTTTCACCTGTGGAAACGCAGGGCATCGCTCCTTCCAATGCTACTATACACCTCCCCCTCGACGAACCCAGACGAGCGGAGTTTTCACGAATGGAATTCTTACGGAAAAGCCCCAACCAGTATTGTTAACTTCCCAGAACAATGAGTAAGGACAAGCAGAAGAGACGGAATCGGAAAACGAGATGCCCTAGCCGAAAGTCGGCGCCTAGGGCCTAAGGATGGAAAAGTCTACAATAAGTTGATAAATGAATGGAATTCATTTAACATGGAAGGAACACTTTTTACTATCCCCGCATACGTGAACAAGCAACACAACGTCCTTACCCTGATCGATAATGGGTCGCAATCTTATAGACTGATCGAAGAAAGAGTTGTAAGGCGATTAAAGCTTGACAGGTTTACCCTCCCTGAACCTATCGGGGTATCAGGATTCGAAGAGTTATTAAAGAACAAGATCACAGAGTGTGTAATACTGGATTCATTAGATATTGGAGGGTCTCAATTAGCACGAACACCATCGGGGAAGATTTTCCTTTATATTATCCCCAAGATAGCAGGAGAGCACTAGATGATCCTAGGCACTCCTTGGCTAGAGAACGAACGAGCCTACACGAACGCACAGACGGGGACTTTGTACATCGAAAGAACTGGCGTCTCCGTTAAGCAGTTAGACACTCCTAAACTCCGGAAGTTTACGAAAGAGATCAGACAGATTTCATCGGTGTCCTTCGCGCACGCCACAAAGAAGTACAGAAAAGAACCAACACGAGTGTTCGCAGTATCGATGGCTGATATCGAGAAAGCCCTACAAGGGAAGAAAGAAGTCAAGATCGAAGATTACCTTCCCCCGGATCTTATGGATCTTAAAGACGTGTTTGATCGAATGAAAGCAGACAAACTCCCCCCTTCCCGACCTAGGGTTGACTACCGGATTGAACTACTTAAGGACCAAGATGGGAAAGAAATGGAAGCGCCATGGGGACCGCTCTATTCCATGTCGAGAGAAATGTTACTTGTCCTACGGAAAACCTTGACCGAGCTCCTCGAGAAAGGTTTTATTCGAGTCAGCCATTCCCCAGCAGCGGCCCCTGTCTTATTCGTCACGAAGCCAGGGGGTGGCCTCCGATTCTGCGTCGACTATCGAGGTCTTAACGAGAGAACGAGGAAGGATCGTTACCCGTTGCCTCTGATCAGGGAAACCCTGAGCCAAGTAAGCGAAGCAAAATGGTTCACGAAGCTAGACATCATCGCAGCTTTCAACAAGATCAGAATAGCCGAAGGAGACGAGTGGAAGACAGCCTTTCGAACCCGGTATGGACTCTA